GCACAGCTTTGAAAGTAATTGATTGAGATTTCTATCCACCATAGACTTATAATAACTGTACCTCAAAATACTAAAGGCTATTTACTCTGACAGGGATCCAAAGTCAGGTACAAATTTGTCATTGCCAAAGAGATATTGACGTTTTCACTCAGAAAGATGGTATGCTTAACTACACAAATATGCATCTTTGTGACAACAATGGAGCTTCTATTCTTTTGTAGAATACATTTAAGCAAATGACTGCAAAGGCAACCTAAGTAACTTGTAAATTATATGATCTATGATAACTGATATGGGTACCAAGAGTGTTGGCGAGTAACTAGTTACATGTAATTACAAAATAACTGTAACTGTAATCTTTTACTGAGAAAAATGTGCAATTAAATTAGTTACTTATGAAAATGTTAACGATTACAAAGGGGGTAACATCTGAACATTTTCACGCACATACAGATTTGATTGATTTCTTTCCCAAATCGTATTGACTGCTCTAAAATATGAGACACCAATGTTTCAGAAGTTTAGTATACAGAATAGGACACATGCTTACTTGATAACTGTTTTATTTCCTATTTGGATTTATGTATGTTTTATTTTTTAAGATTCACTGTTTTTTCAAAACCATTGTTACGTGCCAGTGTTTCTTGTCATAGCTATGCAAAGATTTGATTTCAAAAACAGCATCATAGCTATTAAAATACATCTTATTTTAAATCTGTATTTAACCTCAAAACGATCTCAAAGTAAAAAAATGTGTTAAAGTCTGATTTTGTGGTGGCTGTGCTTTAAAATTCAATTTGTATAATCTTAATTCAAGTGATGAAGGATTTTGAGAAGTCTGACAGTAATCAGTGTTGAGAGCTACTGTAAGGTTAACCCTGCCTGTTTAAAAGTTTCAAAATGATTAACAGTTGAAAACATTAATTAGAAATTTAGAAAAGCAATCAAAAAGTAATCAAATGTAATCAGTTGCATTACTTTAATAAAGTAATTGAAGTAGTTACACTACTTATTATTAAATTTTAAATAAGGTAACGTAATCTGTAACCGTTATTGTGTGCATCCCTAAGCGATTTAACTAAAAACAAATCAGTAACAGGAACAGTAACAGTAACAGGCCTATAAGCAACAATATATTACCTTTCATGTCGCCTGTAGCCGTATGTGAAAGTAAAAGGTCTGCAATGTTTCAAAGATCAAAGTGCACAACAAATGGAGTTATTGTCTCCCAAAAGCACGAACCGATTCTGAACTTTCAAAACCGCATAAAAGGGACACATCATAGTTATAACTAACACATCCTCCATATTTCCATATGCATTCAACAGGTTGAAGGAACAGGTCACCTACACTGCAATTTCCTAAGGGCAGTATGAGCACTTCCTCCCACTGCAGAATCGGTCCTCATGGACAGGATGGAGAAGGGCGTGATGGCTCACGGGAGACTGAGGCAAGGGCAGAATGGACACCCACTGTGTTGTCGGGAGGGTTGCTGATGATATCTTTCAAAACCGGTCAGCAGCTCCGGCTCTGAAGAGAGGCGTTCGGGGAGCGGTAGAGAAAGATGGCCTCCCGCATGATCAATTATCCCATCTTTCACACTCGCACCAGAATCCACCTGTCTCCAATGACCTTCCTCATTTCTCAAATCCAACTCGTCATATTTAGTCCATTATCTGGCTTTAGGTTGGTCTCAGTCACGGGCCTCACAGCAGGAAAGAAATCTGAATCTGACTTTATGACTTGTAATGTAATTGTATTTACATCATTTATATCTATGAATGTAAGAACCTTTAAATCAGATTTTTGGATCTGTTTTCAAACACTGAAAAATATACTGTTCCATGTTTTAAACATAATAGAGATGTGCAAGTATTAATATACCATACTAAGTTACATCCTACACCACACATATACATACGCACAAGCCATGTTTTACAAGGTTTTTCACTAAATAAACACAATAATGACAGCAATTATATAATTTATATGCACATATAAAACTCCATAGCACTAAACTGCAATATTTTAACTACATTTATAATTTTACTACATTAAAAAAAATTAAACATGCCACACTACAACTTCCATTCAAAATTAATGAATCAATTCACTGAAATACTCACTTCAAACTGATTCCTTGAAATGAATCAAGACAGGGAGTTATTCCAAAAAATGTGTGAAATAAATAAATGCAATGTTCATGATTAAATGTATACTGTCCAAACAGTGAAAATTGATTATTTAGTGAAGGCTCCTGTGTATCAAATCAATAGCTTGTCCTTCTTAGAATAATGTGATGTATCTACCAATCAAACATTCTGTTTACAAAGTGACTTTCAAAGAGAATGACAGCATTGAGCACATCTAGCTACTTGTTTACCAGTAGATGGCTTAATGGCTTATTGTAGAACCATGAAACTTCAATTACAGTTGGGCACTTTGGCTTGAAACCTAGAGAAGCCTTGTGAAGTCGTAAGGACCTCTGTGAGATTCTGAGAGACAGATTTTCCAATTTTATGTTAGGGGAATAAGAGGTGTTACACTTTGGGATGTACATCACTGTCATTGAGAATGTGACCCACAACAAAATTGCTATTGATCTGGTGCTGCAATCATGTTAACAAGAGAACAGTTCTCGTAGGCCCATATGAAAGCAATCCAGGTGTATGTGTGCGCGTGTGGCTATCAGTCAATATGCACTCGCTTGGCATTTACCATTAATGTCAAAATAACTGACTGAATTGTTTTGAAAATTAATAGGCACACTTTCAAGAGGAAGTTTTAAATGTGCACTTTTTCCCTCTTTGGCCACCATCACTGTGCATTAGGCTCTCAAGAAACACTGGACTTTCTCCCATCTAAATAGTAATTACTTGCTCGCTCCCATCAACACGGCCCATTCTGCAGCACTTTACTGAAATAATAATCGAGACGTGTTTTCAAAAAGCTGTGCGCTAAGTATGACACGCTAAGCAGGTGGGTCTCAGCTGCTCGCCATTCCTTGACCATTTTTTCCCCTCACATGGCGATTTGTTCAATAAATTGCTGCTTCAAGCCATTTCACGTCCTAACAGTAGGGCAATTAGACATGTGTGCACAAAACCTTCCAGTCTCATTAACATTAGCTGAGAATTGTAAAATGGAGGCTAATGGGAGAGGAATGAGCTGGACTCATGAAACGGCTCTAGCGTTGGAAGACATTACGGGTTCAGGGATAGCCTTAGCATGGGAGGCGATCGATCGAGCGCTTGAGCTGAAGTGACGGTATTGCTTAGGTTGCACGTCTCTGGACTGGTCTGAAAATGATAAATTTAAAGGCCTGCTTGGCAGGGTAATTAAAACGTTAAGACTAAACTGAGCTGTCGTTTTTCCTGGTAACCGTTCGAGACAAAGTACCTCAGATAACCTTTGTTTTAAACACTTTGCTTGAGTGTTTGCTGGCAATAAAACAGAAAGGTCCTATGAGCGTCTTTCTTTAACATAGTATGAGTGACAAGCTTCTGTAGGCTAATTATGTGAGGATGTAGATGATATGGTACATATCCATGAGTGTTGTTATTATTGTTAACTAAAATTACCACCTTTAAAAACAGTTTTTGTTAATTGCAATAAAGCAGAAAAGAAATAAAACCGATGATAAACTTGAAAATGAGAAACTAAGTGAAAAAAGTAAGCAATAAAAAAAAAGTTGAAGTATTAAAACTAATTAAAACAAACTAAACAGAAATATAAAAAAAACTAAATAAAAAAAATGACAAAAGCATACAATTCCTAAATGAAAACTGAAAATATAAAACATAAAAGCTATTAATACAAAATATTAAATGAATTATAATAGTATATAAATAATCCTAAAACAAGACTGCATGAGTATTACTGCTCTTCATATGTCCTTAACACTTAAATATAGCCTACATTTCACTAAAATCTTTGAATCAGAAACTTAGCTGCTTATGAAATCAGCATTTAACCCTTTGGGGTCGACAAACGCGGATACGTGTTTTGTGGCATCTTCTCCTAATAACACCGAAAAGAACTTAAATGACACTTTCAGTTTTGATCTTACAGATAAGAGCAATACATCAATCGAATCTGTAAATGGTCTACTTTTATTTGTATACACACATAATAACAACAAAACTTTGTGCATTTATAAAATAAAGAAAACAAACAGGGTGCGCTGTCTGCCGCCTTGGTCTCCGTGATCTTCATTTAGAAATAATCCTTCCACTTTTTTGGCCACACTTCCACGGTTGTAGAAAAAGTAGGAGAGTAGATAGCTCAGACATAATAGTTCAGTTCGCAATTTTAGTAAAAATATGAGATAATCCAGAACAAAACAAGAAGAACACAACAGAAGAAAGGCAAATCAGCTAAGCAAAATAAGCTGAGACTAGAACTGACAAAGAACTGAAAAAAAATGGATACATATGAGTTAATAAGGAACTAAATTAGAATCAGAATCAGAATCAGAAAATAAGACAAAGGAAGTGTGAATACAGACACAGGAAAAGAAAACACAAACTATCAGTCCAGAATAAGATTAACTAATACAAATAATAGTTGCCATACTCACCATCATCTTGGATGTCATATTAGTGGGGATAGAACATTATTTCTATTAGTTGAGTCAAAAGAACATGCAAAATATGTTGTACAGATTCATTCACTGCATATATGTCTCACAACGCCAGGAAGTTTTTTTTATGTTCTATAAAATAGACAGCAACGATATAAAAGTAATGTGAGTTATAATGTTAATATGTTGAATGTTTTATACTCGGTCATTGGCGTTCGCGATCGTCTGATGTGTAAACGTATCAAGTAAGCTGTAAATAAGTGATGCATCGACAGACATATACGCGCGTCCTTTCTTATCAGTGATGCAATTTATTTATCAGCTATGCATCTTCTGGTAATTGCTAACAACTTTTTCAGTTTTCGTTTAGGACTGTGGCTGCATCACTGGCATAATTGCACAAGAAAGGCACACGTGTCGTTCAGTTTTGAGTTCGCTGGAAAATCATACTGAGTAAGTGCACAGTATAGTAATTGTAATTGTATTATTCCTAGAATATGTGGTAATATTATTTGTGGTTGATAGTGTTAAAATGTAGTTTCTTTGTTATTGGCATTCTGTTTTCTCATGAAGTATGCATACTATACTAAGGTACTGTGGGGAAAAAATGCTTACAATTGTTTATAAAATTATTTTAGGACCGAATACACCACTCTTGCCTTCACCTGCATCTCTCACAGTAAGGGGACACTCGTTCAGTTTTCAACTCCGTTCAGAATCTTAGAGTAAGTGTGCATTCACTATTTTACAGATGTTACTTTCATTTGATTTATTTACTGCATGGTAAAATATGTTTGCTATGTGTTCTTTGTGTTCTTTGTTTCGATAAATTAGTACTAGTATCAGTGAACATCATAATAATGTTAATAATGTAAACAGCATGCACAGCATGCTTGCTTTTTTATTTCAGATGTGAGAATAACAGTGCAAAAGAACCTGTTGCAAAGAGAGCCAAAGCAAAGCAGCCCACTTGGTCATGGAAATGGAGATTCCTGCCTGCACAAGAACCTGGACCACAGCTAAGACCATGTGATGCACACACTCCCATGAGTTATTTTATGTGATAGTTATATGTATTCTAAATAAACTACAAACAAAAAATAGATACATTTATTTTTTCCTCATATTCGCTCATTATGCAGCTCATTATGCGGGCCTTTGTCTTCTCAGGTGTGAATCACAGCATTATCCATGACCATTCACGCCCCCTCGCATATTACTTTTCTACACAAAATGTGTCTTAGAAAATTTAAATCAAAATATTTTTTTCTGTGAGTGAGTAAACAAGATGATTTTCACATCATTCTGAAGCAAAAACTCTAGACTTCAAGATCCAGTTCTCAAAAGTCTTGTGAACAAATGTTCTGTATGTGTTTTATGGCCTTATTTCAGTGACTTTAAAATTGTAGTTTTTCACTAAGCACGCATAAACGTTGTTTTCTCAAAAACACAATCACGTACATACATGCTGCTCACATATTATTGTAGCCCAGTTTGTGCTGATTACAGTGTTATTAAACTTTAGACATTCAAATGTTTGTAAGCAAAAAAAAAAAAAAGCACAGATGTCAGGGCATGTCAAAACTTTTCCAGGGCCCCAAAACACCCTCGACCCCAGGGTGTTAAAGGTGTGTATGTGCCCATGTGCAAGCAGGCCATGTGTCAAATCTATCTGGTGCTTTTTTGAGGAAAAAAAGACAAAGTAGAAAGAAACAGGAGAGAAGGTGGAAAAAGGACAAAACATTTCTGTTTACACAGCCCCTAGTTTACCGTTACTTAAGTTTTACTTCACTGTCTAGCGTGAAATTGGACATGATAACTCTTATTCCAGACCGTATCAGGTAAATGACAAAATAAGTTAGGATTAGATCCATGCATACGAGTGATGTGAAGAGAGGAAGTGCGTGATCTGGCATATATCAGGTGGAGAATTGGAAAATATTTTCCCTGTGGTTGGTTTAAATGACAGCTATGTAACTGTTTCTCCCATCTCTCATTCATACATACAATCTCTGGTCATTTAAACACCACAGTTACTTTGGTGGGGGCTTAGGTAAATTTTAGAGAAAATAAATATGATAAAAAAAAAATAACTAGCAAAATACACGTTCAAATATATTTAAAATTACTTTTTTTTTTTTGTATGTGTGTCTGTATGTGTGTGTTTACTATATCCAGGGCTAGTGGGTGAAAGGTGGTGACGATTATAGGGGTCCCCGGCGTTTTCAACCGACAGCCCGAGGCCAGCATAAAAGTTTTAAGCCTTACCAATTTAAACATTCAAGAGATTTTAAAGCATTCAAGCACATGACGTGAAAGAACTCAACTGAGTACTCGGTACGCACACAGAGAGCCGCGTCTTAGACAGCACGCAAACACCCAACCGAGCTTTCCTTTCTGCGAACAAATACACCTTGCCAGTTTAAAAATGCAAGCACAAAAAGACGCGAAAGAGCCCAATTCAGCACCCACGCGCTGTGTTCTGTGTGAACATCACGCACGCAGAGAGCCGTGTCTCATAGCCCTTGAACAACTAATTGAGTTTTGCCTCGTCTTGCACTTGAACGGACAAATACATACTTGGTGAGTATCCTCGAAAAACTGTCGGTTATGTCTTAAGTGAACATAAACAGTTGAGAAAGAAATCGGATGTGTATCATTATATTGGATGCATTGTCTCTTAAAGTGACGGCGCCTAATTTACTAGCTGCTGTTGGTGTCCTTAATGTTATTCCAAGAAAATAAAAGAGAGAAAATCACTCACTGCTCTTGACTGAATTACTGTGTAGTTTTAACAAGAGCTAATCAATATTTAATTTATACAGTGAAGACTATGCAATGCTATTTTACATCTGATTATTCAGTTTCTTTACCTGAATACCTACAAACTTGAAAAAAACTAAACATTGTTTAATTTCTATCTTTGTTCTATTTATTTATTTGTGCTATTTACACGATTTCAAACAGGGCCCATGGGTACAACCTGCAGCGGGGCCCTGCAAACCCCAGTTATGGCCCTGCTATATCAATTTAGTTTTTTTTTTTTTTTTTTTTTTTTTGTAAGT